AAAAGAACAATAGAAGCAAAACCATAAGATCAGCGGTCAATCTAAAAGCCATTTTAAATATTGAGAGAGAGATTCATCTAGTTTCCTTTGTCTTTTAGTAAAGATGAATTTAACTATGGTATCTAGAAGGCAAATAGGCAGCTATACAAGATAACTTCTAATGATAAATAGGACTCCACGCCTATATGTCAGTTAAATTCTTTCAATCAACAATCCCACCTATGCAAAATCGAACCCAAATCACTTCGCATACCGGACACACAAATAAATCCAAAAGAATGCCTTTTGTACTTGTACAATACATAATAATGTCAATGTAATCTTTTTCCGGTTCATCATAAAAACATATTACTTAACATGCATGACCATACTAAAAATTCTTACTCAAATGGTCAAATCTCAAAGGCAAATAATGTCCATATCAACTATTGTTCACTTGTGAACACAAGATGAAAGTGCGAAAGAAACTCGCATTGAGTCAATGTGCACTTAATTTACATTAGACATGCATTTTAGTAGCATTTTTAAATTGATAATCTCCACATCCATTTTGTTTTTTTAGTTTAGTTCCAGAACCAGGTAGAAAAGCAGAATAAGATGGTACAACATAAAAAAAAATCATCATATTAAGAAATAAGAAAAATAATTTCTACAATTCACAAAGAGAATAGATGAATTGAAATGGAAAAATACTACTAATCCAAAGATGATGTACCCCAGAGAGAATGAATCTTTGTCCCCTGATGATGCAAACAGATAAATCATATGCAGATATAAAGGAAAACTTTTCTCATAATATGATGCATCTTAACTTTATATTGAACATTGAAAATGAAAAGAGAGAACAATACTATCTGATCACCCTTCATGAGTGTAAAATTCACTGAAACTCTTTGGCAAGAGCCACTACTTCATCCAAGTTAGCATTACTTTCTTGTAACAAGATACTGGATTACTATCAACTTCAATAGAAGTTCATCGACATATTACATTTTAAAGCTTAGTCAAAATGAAAACATAATAGTAGATTCCTCTTTGTTAAGAGAGAGAATTTATCTCATAAAATTTTTGTATTGATTAGGCATGTAAGCTAGGAAGAAATACACATGGCCCTAGCCTCCCTCGCTTTTCGCAATTGAGTTAAAAGCACAAAGAGGAAGCTTGAGAAAAAATGATGGGTTTACTTACCTAAAATGTTTTACCATCAGGAGCAATGTCCCTGTCATGGAAGCACCACTTGTCTACTCCAAGCTTGTCGAGAAACTCAAAATTAGCACTCACTATATCATCAACAAAGAAGATAAAAAAATTAAACAACTTCATTTGTCACCAATAATATTGCTAAAATACAAAGGAAAATATATTTACTTCTTCTCTTAGCCATAGCTAGGGAATTCGTGCCATCTTCCCATGGCCACATCTTTGTAGGTGCACCGAATGAGAGTATATCACTCCATCATAATCGTCTCCAGGTGCACTACTTTCAATCATTTGCTACGAAAATGAACAAACAAATTGCATTAGTACCAAAACTTAGAGCACGAAGTAGAAAAACAAAGAAAGAAAAGGGAAGTACAAGTGCTTTTTGCACCACAAGCAAAGTGGAGGTATGTCAAGAATATAGTTCAAAAACATAGACACGTCCATGAAGAATGTATTGTAGCAAAAATTTGGATAGTCCAGTTAATATAAAGAAAACTAAATATTTCTAAATTGGCTTGGTGCGACATAAGTTAGCTAAAAGCTATTTGCTTAAGATATTTGTTTATTGCAACTATTATGAATTCATTAGCAGAAAGTGAAAAATAATGTTCCTAATGAACCAAACTAACCATCTAATTTTTGCAGTAATTCTAAGTCATATAATTTTTACTTAAAAAATTAATTGGCTGGTAATTTAGCAGAACATACACGCCTCCTAATAATCAATTTGTATTTGTGGAAATAGCCTTCACTGGGGAGAACTCGAATAATTGTTTTGCAGGAGGCAGCATATTGGAAGAGAACTTCTATGAGCCACACCAAGTTCTCAGGTTAGAGAAATTTTCATCACAAACCAAGCAGGGAAACAAATACATCTCTAGAATAGCTCAGTTCCTTATTCCAAAGCCAATGCAGCAGAAAAGAAAATTTATAACTAATATTTACTCTTCATAATTCTTATATTTCTCAAAGATCATAGAAAACATTAATTCAACAGTAAGCATAATAGAATTTCAAATTTCTGTAACGCCAAACAGGGTAGGTTAGTAAGACTGTAAGGTAATCATTCTAACTCACCATAGCCAATTACTTGGTTGGCAAAACCTAAATATAAATATTTGCATCAGTGTGCACGTGCATATATTTATATCATCGTGCCTTTCACTTTTGATGATCCATCCCCCATTTTTATATGCTTCACAAGAACAGAAAGCTTCTCTTTCTTTCCTTTCTTCGTTTTAAAACAAGAATTCATACTTCATTGTGATTTTAGCATAACATCAATTCTTTCTCAAAAGGCCTTAATCAAATTAGCTGTTTTTTCAACATGACATCATAATCAAGCCTCCAATTGCTTAACGGG